AACTGGCTGTTCAGCATCAGCGGGTGGAGGTCGCCGAGGAGACAGTTGATCTCCTCTTACCATGCCCACCACGCTGGGCGGGAGGCGTTCGGGTTGTTGCCACTCCTCCGCAACCCCCCGGCACTCACCGCCATCATGCTGTTCCTCCTCCCTTTTTTCCTCTGCCAGCTCCTCAGCTTCCGCAGGTGGAGGTCGCCGGGGAGATGATTGATCTCCCCTTTGGGCGGGAGGCGTTCGGGTTGTTGCCACTCCTCCGCAACCCCCCGGCACTCACCGCCGTCATCCTGTAAAGCCTCGAGAGCTGGAGCTTCTTCTAACCCTCCTTCTTCCTCCTGTTGAGCTTCCATCTTTGTTGATCCTTTTGGCACCATATAGGTGTAAGAGCCAGCAAGAAAGTATCGGCACTTCCATCCTCCAACATCACTCGCAGGAAATAGAGGACCGCAAGTATCCAATGCCAAGACTCCTGCCTGTCGATGTTTGACTTTCCTGTGTGGGAAATTCTGTTGTGATGCCCTTTGGCAAACTGCACAGTCGCGTCGATAGGGCACATGCCCAAATGCTACATGTTCTTCAAACGTCAAGGCCTTCAACTAAGGTGTTTGTTTGAAAACCTCTTTGACTGTTGCGGCACCAACTGCATCCATCAACCCCGGAGCCCACCTCTCCAGCTGCTTGGAACTCTTGACCTCTTGATCACGTTGAAGTGGTCTTTCATAGTCTTCCATGCACAGGTCAAAGGTGGTGCCAAGGGTCGTTGGTTTTGGTGCTAATCCTCCAAGATTCCCTTGATTGAAGGTCACCTCATTGAGCTTGAACTCATCTCGGATCCCTTTCCATTCCTTGGTGTCCCAAAATGAGACTGCCTCTGGTTCATAGGCCTTTGGTGAAGCTGGCTGCTCAAGCACCAGATGTACAGGGTCAACTTTCATCTGCGCTCGTCTGGTGTACTCGGCAACCATGAACAAAAACAGCATGCGCCACATCAACACATCATCCTCTCACAACATCGCTTCTTCTTTTGAAGTGATCCAGGGTGCCCCAAATTCACCTCCATCCCAACACCTAATTGGCCTCGGAGCATCAGGCTGACCAGGTACTGGACGATGTCGCAAAACGCTTCGGCTCCTGCAGTTGGGGCCACCAATCACTGAAAGGATCTTTCCTTCCACTGCTGCCCTCAACAGCGCAGCATAAGGGCCATTCCCTTTCAAAAGGTCATGTGATGGCCCGTGCTTGATGTCAATCTCCAACAGTCGCTGGTGGGGCCCACCTTGGCCCTTGATTGATCTCTTCAGAGTATAGCCTTCTTCATCCCCTGAAAACAAGTGCAAAGCAAATCCTCCTTGTCTCAAAGTTCTGCGATGCCTTCGATTGACAGGAAGAAGGTTCCAGTCGGAAGGTTCGACCACCAGCTGACTTTTCAACCATTCAGGAAGCTGTGACAAAACTGGATGTACTGCAACCAAACGTTTCATCCACTCCATCTCCCCCTCAAAGCCCAAGCGACTGATCGAAACTCCTCCTTTTGCATCTTCTATCTCAAATCAACTCCAGCGCCAATTTCCTAGAAATTTGGGGACATCCTCCATGACTTTCAACCTTCAAAGGACCATGTCGTGGGTGGTGAACTTGCAGACCATCTTTTGACCAATTCACCTCGCATCCCAAAACCTGAATCAGCATGCCCATTGGAACTATTGGCTCTACTTCTTCATCATCCGTCACCATTGAGCCGGATGTCGTCATCTTCAGCTGAACACATCTCCCATCTGCTAAGGTGACCTCAACGCTTCTCATGTTGGTCTCGGCCTCCTCGCTCCTCAATGGTCGAAAAGGGTGTGTTGCACCACTATCAATGAGACCCTTCGTCAGGTCTCTTGTGATTCGGCCAAGCTTGAAAACCTTGAGAGAGTTCAGCTGAGCCTGCAATCTTGAAAGAACTTCACTTCGATTCTCCTCCTCCTTCACAGGGGCATTGGATAAAGTAGAAGTTGATGGTCCTGACTTGGCTGTCAGTGATCAGAGCATCTTGTTGGCTTCCTCAATAAGCCCTTTCATAGTTTCCGTTTCACTGCTTGGATCCTCAGCATTCTTGGATCCTTGGCCCAAGTCATTTTCAGCCTTCACCATCTTCTGCTTCGGTGGAGACTCACTCAAACTTTTCCTCGGACACTCTGGCGCCATGTGTTCTGTGGATCCGCATGTATAACATCTCCTCTTGCCATCCTTCTCACTGTGGGAAAAACGACACTCCTTTCCTTTCCGACAGCCTTCTGTTGTCAGAAAGAATCTGCACTTTGCCCGAGGCTTCTCAGTCTTTTCCTCCTCAGGACTTCGATCTTTTCCTTTACCTTTCCCTTTTGCTGCATCTTCTTTTTCTGTCTCTACGGACTTGAGCTTGATCTCGCCTTTTGGAGCTGGAGTCGTTGGCTTTTTCTCCATCTGCGAAATCTGCTCACATTCTGACAAAAGATGCATGGCAAACTGCGTCACGCTCTCCAGGGTCGGCACTGTGTCGATCCCCAGTCCGTGTCTGGCAAGTGACACTCTGAACTGGAGTTCTCGATTGGCTTCCAACACCTTTCTTGTCATCCTCAGCAACCCTCGTACCAGCAATGTCGGATCTGGCATCGTGGCTCCAATTTCAGTGGCTCTTTGACGCCATCGAAGCCACCGCCTCAATGCGGAGGGCGCCTCAATGCGGAGGGTGCCTCACTGACATTCGCTACTTCTGTTGGCTCCTCCAAATTCTTCAAGAGGTTCTGCTTCTCGGTAATCCCTCCAGGACAATAAGTCACATACAAATGTGTCACTATTGCAAAAACTGTGAGTTTTCTGCTCGAGACCAATTCTTCTCGAACTTGCTCTGGTATCGACTGGAGCATCATGGTGGCCACACGCCTCTCCAGCCTCTGCCACTTTTCCTGCATCAATGCCGCAGGTTGTTCACTTCCATGTTGAAGACGTTCCAATGGTGACAACAGCATGTGCGACTGATACCACTGTTCAGCCTCTGCCACCATCGTTTTCCACCACGTTTCTGCTGTAGCTGACAAGTCTGAAATCACCGGTGCGACAAGCAGCAGCCAGTCGCTCAACTGAAGTGGAGCTTGCGTCGAACTCCAAACTGGCAGCTGGGGAAGCTCATGCGTCCCTGACCTCACTACCTCCACCCCTCGGATGGTTCCACTTTCTTCTTTGTCTTCATGCAACTTTCGATGCATCTCTTTCATATTCTCCATCATCAACGACATGAATTCCATAGACTTCTCAGCAAACCCAGTTGCACCTTGAGCTGAATAAAGGTCTGGCTTTGGCAAAGAAGTGGGTCCTGGCAGCGGAGTCTTCCCAGACTCCTCGACGTTTCTTTGCCTTTCTTTTGGGGATCTCACAGCCTCCTTTTGGGCTTCTGGTGGTCTCGCAGCCTCCTGTGGGACTTCTGGTGGTCTTGCAGCCTCCTGTGGGGCTTCTGGTGGTCTCACAGCCTCCTTTGAGTCTTCAAACTGGTGACTTCCATTTGGAGTGGAAAAAGACAGCTCTACTTCTGGCTTGACAATCCCAGCCTCCAACATCTGGACCCTTTTCGTCAACTCTTCATTTCGATCTACTAACTCTTTCATGTAAGACCGGAGAGTTGCAAGCTCAGTGGATTCTCTGGTCATCCTAGCTTCTTCCTGCTCCAAAAAAGAAGGTCTCCTTGGAAAAAAACGTTCTTTGTGCGTCTTGATACAACCACGGTGCCCTACTGTGAAGGAGCTCCATCTGTTTCACTTGTTCTTCTGTGAACAATGGTTGAAAAACTTCTGGAGATCCTACTGGTTGACTGTGAGGAGTCTGAACAGCAGTCCAAACACCACTTTCTCTTCCTCCCCCTGTCTCACCAACTGAACGCCTGTTGGCCTCTTCTTTCCGAGGTCCTTCTATCGTCGCCGGAGTTCTCACAGTTCCTGGCTGACTATCACCTGGATTGGCTTGGCCAGGGGCGGAGGCAGTTGATCCTGGTCTGGCTGGGGTGATGGCAGCAGGTGAAGTCTTGGGGTGGTCTTGGCTAGCCCTATCGCTCCTACTTTCTATTTGCGCAGGCGACGACCTTTCTTTTGGGGCATCCTCTAACCTCAACCTTTCTTCCTTTGACTCTTGTCCTACTGTTTCCTCACCTTTGGCATCTTCCAGGGGCAACTCCTGACTTTCTTTTGCTTCCCTTTCAAGCCTTTCTTGCGCCTTTTTCATCTCTTCCATACCTTGTTGCAACTCCTGATTAGTTGCTCTCCTTCGTTGCATTTGCATGGCAAGCCCTTGGGCTCATAACCTGCTGTTACGCAGGCACCTTGAACTCCTCACTTCACGCCTTGTTTTCCGTCTCGGACTGGCGATCTGTTTGAGCTAAAAAAGCAGCTATATGGATCGGCTTATGTTTCAGCCTGAAATTGGAAATGAATGCACAGGTGAAAAATTGCATGTTTCATTGATGCACAAATGGAAAATGAAGGAATGGAAATCTGCACAACCAGCCAATGAACCAAAGGATCAGTGAATCCATGAATCAATGAACCAATGAATAGATGGCAGAATGAGGGGATTGATGGGTGAATGAATGGATGGATGGGCGAACTACTTTTGTTTGGTGAGCTGCTTCTTCACTGAGCGACCTCTTCGCTGAGGCACCTCTTTTCTTAGCTACTTCTTCTCTGAGCAGCCACTTATCTGGGCTACTTCTGCCTCCCAGCTAGCTCTTTGCAGCTTCTGCAACTCAATTCTTCTCTTCGCGCAGCTGTTCAATTCACGCGTTACCGAGCTGTTGCTCTCCTCTACTGCTCCCAGGCACGAACTGCTCTTGCTTATTGTTGACACAATGACAAGACTGCCCCTGGACATTCATCCGGAACTCGGAAGTTTTCGAACTAATTAAACTTCCTTGGGTCAAAAGCCACTGGTCCATCTGTGGTTCCCATGGGTCTGAAATTGCGACCAACACCCCCACGCTGCAGCTGAGTTGCTTTGTATTACCATTTCGCTTTGACAGTACCTGTCAGTGTACCCTACAAAGAGTCCGTAGCTGTATTTCATGATATCCGGGTAGTTTGAGATTCGTCCACCACAGAAAATATCAAGTTCTTTTAAACTTACATTGCATCCCTTGATGCTGACCTATCTTTTGGCTTGTGGCTAAGAAACGGGCTGGCCTGGACATCAGAAAATGATAGAAAACTTGTGATTTTGAGTCATTGCAGTACCCATGTGGCGTGCAGCTGCATGGCCCAAGGGCTCAAATGAGGAACAATCTTCCAACCCATGGCGGCTATGATGGGTGCGCCGCCAAAGGGACCCAGTGGCAGTCCACGTTTTTTGTCAAGTAATTATCACCAATTTAATTGCTACCTCCCACAGTAACGATGTACTATGTTAAATAGTATTACATACAGTATATACATATTTTAGCTCCACCTACTTGATCTAACAGAAGAAAACACAGGGCGCGACATGTCACATTGATGGTTTCTGACACCTAGTGCATCATGTTTCTAGAATGATTCGCCTCTGCCAGTTGCAATACTACGATTTGCTTTAGCTACAACTGGCTTCAAACCCCGTTCACCTGATAAACACCCCGGGTGGAAGGCACTGTAGCTGGAACCCAGTAGATAAACTATTTATATAATGTATCATATCATGTCATATTTGGTAGGTCCCTATCATGGCTTATCACTTTACCAAGAAGCGCCATCCGCGGCCCTCATCCAGACCGGCACGTCCCCTCCCAAAGGCAAGGCCTGTGAGGAAGTGGTTTCCCGAAAAATGAGGTCCAAGAAGTTTTCGACACCTGGGGCACTAGGGATGGACAGCGCGGCTCTTCATGCAGCACCCGTGTAACCACGACACGAGATATTGGAGTATACGACTTGGGAATTGGCACTCTTCGTCAGTGAAACCTTATTGAGACATACTTGGGAACCAACAAGTGACACTACATTGAACTGCTTCATGATATACTTCCAGCTGGCTGATATCCTCAGTGTCCATCGGTCCATGGCTACTCCGACACATTTCGAATCTCCGGGGCTCAGCCAAAGCCGAACCCAGCCCAATGGCCGTAAAAATCAATTGTTTACGCCCGACGCCTGGTACAAAAATATAAGTTATCGGTTTTGGAGCGGGCCCTATCGCTCTACAGTGTTTTGTTCAAATCAACACTAAATAATGCACAAAAATACAGTGGAATTGGCTTCGCGGATTCAGATCTCTAAACGCCGGGGATGGATTTAGGGGGCGCTCGCTGTCTTTGCGCTTGCAACCATGTTGGGGAGCTATCTAAGCACATTACTAGACTCTTTTCTAAGCAAGGAAATTTGTTGCAATCTCAACTCCGAACTAGAAAGACAGTAATTAATTAAGATCAATGGTTCCCAACGGTTATAAGATCACTAATTCTATGAAAACCAAAAATGGTCACCTCGGCCTTGTCCCTGTTTGAATAAGCCATGGCGTCAGAAAACGCTCAACAAAGAAGCGTTCGTAGCTATGAAGAAGTGCATTAGGCTTCCCAAGTCTCAATACAACCTGATGGCCTCGTGTTGAGAACCTGTTCACTTTTTTGTTGAGCCCTTCTTCTTGGGATCAAATGAGTCTATCCCTCGTCTGGGGCCCCTTTTTCAACAGGTTATCGCTAGGTTTTCGCGAAGGTTGTCGCTAAATTAGAACACTTTGATGATCAAGAAAGGAAAGGAAAGAGGAACATAGAACAAAAAGGGCAATTGAAAAAACAAAAGGAAAAAGGAAGGAAGGAACAAGAAAAGGAAACTAAGGAAGAAGCAGGGACAAATCAAACAATAAGGAAATAAAATGAAATAAATGGAATTCAGAATTGGATTCAAAACCAAATTTGATTTAGTTCAGAATTCAATTGATTTCAATTGCATTTAGCTTCTAAAGGAAAATAAAGGAAAAAGGAAGGAAAGAAAAAGAAAAGGAAACAAAGGAAAACGCAGTTCGAATTAAATTAAAGCATATAAAGGGAATTCAGAATTAGATTTCAAGCTATGATTTGCTTTAATTCAGAATTTGGTTGCATTCAATTTAGTTTAATTCTACTGCCTTGGGACCTGGGAAGAAAAAAACAAACTGCCTGCAGAAAGCAACGGTTCAATAACCTTGGACAACAAATGATATGGCAACTGCAAGAAACGTGGGCACTGCAGGTTGAATTTTCTTCATTGCATGAAGGCGCACAGCAATATTAGCTTGGTTTACACCAAGTATGGTTACAGGTTATCGGTTTTGGGGGGGGCCTATCGCTTTACATGGTTTGGTGCACTTTCCCAACACGACTGGAGCCTCCCTTACTAAAGTAGTCTACGCTTATTTTGACGGTATCTCATATACTTTAAAGGGGTTCCCCAAGAGAAAAATGCATTTGTTTAATCGTTTAACCATTTTGTGATGATGTTTCACTTCTTCTTGAGGATTTGTAATATTTGCACTATATTTACCAATCCCAGTGGGTGACACTCGCACACCAACTCATGATACCAAAATTGGTTATCAAAGGAAAAAATCTAGACAAAACCATCATTTGATGCTACATTGGATGGTAAAAACCATGGTTTCCTGTGATTTTTCCCCGAAATCAAGACCAAATAAAGTAAAATCTATGCCGCCTAAGGTACTGAGATGTGACTCTTGATCCTACCGCTCGACGGCCGTGGGTGAGAAACACATGCAAGCCATGGGCCAAAACCCTGTGACTTTCCGTATGAAAGTTTCATACATCATCCAAGTCAACCAAGTCATTGCTATCTTTTTCTCGGAGAACCACAAAACCTCGGAAACCACCATGGGGAACCCACACCCACAAGATATGGCTATGGTCTCACACCCTTGGCCTTTGCATTGCCAACATGGGACCATACAAAAAATGTGACGCCCAAGTTTACCGCATGCTGACAGAAAAACGTGGACGGCACGGAAATTGTGGTGACAACGCAATGGCAATTGAAATGATCGGGATAATCCCTATGAACGGTGATCGCTAGATGACTTATGATGCCTTGAATTCCTCGAAAAGTTAGGCTCATTCCCTGCTCAAGTCCTTCAGCAGGGCACGCGCTTGCTTCTCTGTTCCACCGATGGTCTGTAGAAATCTGATCCAGCCTACAGCTGAGCTGAGGATGGCAGAAACATCTACAAATGTCCAATTTTTGCCATGAGGCCAAGGAACAGCATAGATCTGATGGATTCTTGTGGTGAATCACATGGTGAATCACATGGTGAATCACATGGTGAATCACATGGTGAATCACATGGTGAATCACATGGTGAATCACATGGTGAATCACATGGTGAATCACATATGATGTATCAAATACATCATGCACGGCATGGTGGGATGGGTCAAATCCATCTACACCTTGCGATGGCACCGCCGCAGATTGCTTTGGAAATTTGGGATCCCGTAATTTCTAGTCACTTCTAGTCATTTGGGTCACCACTTCTCATGGCTAATGACAGTTTTCCTTCTTGGCCATAACTTGAAGGTTTACTGTACCCCACTTTCGAACCATTTGAAAGCAATGATCGACCATGAAATTTCGGGGGTCCCGGCTTTTCAGACAAACCCAAATATCAATCACCAAAATCTCAGAAATTGAGCTGACCAGTCTCAGAAAAAAACATCCCCGGAAGCTGAACGTGACCAGACCCTGGGTACGTCAAAATAGTGGAGCCAAATACAATTGAAAAGTTGGAACCCCAGCCCAGTTCCATTTACTTCATCATGTTGCCTATACATTTGATTGCATTTTGGACGTGCACTGATAAAATGACGAATCTTGAGGGGATTCTTAAAGATTCACAATGGACATGTTTGAAACCAGCGACCATATAGGATTTGGTGGTTTGCCAAATTGTATAAGCTGGTAAGGATTATACTGGGATATTTGATTCTACTGGATGATCTTAGAGTTTTTCCCGACAACAACCCAGAAAATGAAAACGCTTGAAACCACCACGCAACCCAAGTTTTGCGTGGAATTCCCCGGATTTTCTAGAGTTTTCCCAGCATTGTTGGGCAACTCCACGTTGCACATTGCCGAAACAGCCCGCCTTCCTTGGGCAGAACGCCTTTGCGTTCTGCCAGGGTCGAACACAAGATTTTCTCCACCGCGCAACGGCTGCAGTCCTGACAGATGGTGGAAGTTGGTTTCGGGTGGTTTCATTTTTGTGTATTCAAAAATGTCAAAGTCAACTGCAGCGGAAAAGTTCTTCTTTGAAATTGGGTTCCAGATAAGTCATCAGAATAATAATGAATAATAGCAATCAATCTCCACCCTGCGCAACCTGTTAGAAGCCGTTGGAACCTTGCAGCCTTCGACGTGGGTTGCTTCCGAGCGGCCATGCTTAGCAGGGGACAGCAGGGTCAACGGACCTGACAAAACGAGGCTAAAACGGGCCAGATTTCACTGGATCAAATGCTGATTGAATGGATATGTTTCATGTTTCACCAGTTTTCAAGGAACTGAAATTGTCGTTTCAAGAATATAGGGTGCCCATTCCAGCCCATGATTTCTCATCTTCCGAAGAAACAGTGCTATTAAAATGAAGAGAATCAAATTTCCCAGGCTCTCTCTGGCCTTCACGTATGCCACCGCATGCCCATGGCTGATGACACCAAGAACCGAAATGTTTGTTTGTAGAGCTTGTTGTCAGGGACGTGGGTGTATATTCTTACATTAAAGATACTGCAATATACCTCTTTAATATATAATATATATATAATATGTGTGTACATACAGTTACGATCAATTACGTTTATGAATTGGAAACGGGATCGTTAGTGCCCAACTTTTACCACGGCAGCGCGGTATGACTCAAGGGCCCTAAAGCCAAATGTCAACGGGGGCATGTGATCACTTGGCTATACAAAATATACATTAGACAGGTCAAACTCACACTCAACCTGTTCTTCAAGGATCACATGATGCTAGTGAAAAAGTTGGCTCTAAGGCTTCTTCTGTACACGGTAAATGCACTCCTTCAAGACGCGGATAATGAGGTCCGGGCGCATGCTCTTGGTCAGAGCATCCGAGGCCATAGTCCCTGTAGCAATCCAGGTAACGATGTCTCCTCCGCCATGATGCATATCCCAGGTCCTCCGGCCGTCTTGCCAAAGTGACTCGTGAATCGACTGCAACTCAATGCCGAGTCGTTTGTCTGCGACCCTGCCAAGTACCTCATTCGCAAGATGGTCTGTTAAAGACCTGCAGTCTGAAAGCATCAGTTGTGGAATGCAGCTGCGGCTGTCATCTAACCATGTTTTCATCGAGTCAAGTTGGCCCATCAGCTCGGCCAATGCTCCACGTAGCTTGTCACCGCTCTCTTGTCCAGCCTGCAGTGAATAAGCTTCGCATTGAAGAGTGCTGCGGCATACTCGCCAAATTGTATTTGATGCAAATCCCAATGGCATCACCCTGTAGGATGTAGTCTTGGGGTCTTTGATCTAATTGATGTCTCCAAGAAAATGGAAACGTCCTTGTTGTGATTTGTAGTTCTTCTCGTTTGAAAATGAAGCATCTGTTACTGTAATGATACCAACCTCTCCCCAGGTTAGATGTCCACCTGGAAAAATGAGCTTGTTCTCAATGCCTTGTTGTGCCAGCTGTACTACGGCGTTTGCGTCGTGCAAAATGGCAACTGTCGCTCCAGAAATACTGGACTGTAGGCGGCTCACACGATAACCCAAATCGGGTCTAGTCTGCCTTGCCACCCATGCCAATGATCCCGTTACAGATCGTAATCGGGTCACATCATCCTTGGGTCGGATGCTGATCTTCCTGGCGCGATCTTGATCGGCTTGATGCGACGGGTGTTGTCACAAGTGTCTTGTGTGATTGTTCCATCTGCAGTACGCTCAAATTGCTTGCCACAATAGCGAAACGAATTTGATTCACTAGATCCCAAGTTGAACTTCTCCAAGAAGCTGTCGATCACTGACTTTCCCTCAGGAATGTATGCGTACAAGATGTCATCTACATGAGTCGCCATAAGTGCAACGCAATCTTTGTCGGTTCCTGGAAGGAAATACAATCCTGGGTAAAACTTGGATTGTTTCAAGCCACTGGATCGGGCATCTCCGTCCGGTCTCAACCAAAAACCTCGACCGCTGTCAGTTAATCCATACACAGGCACTCTCACAAGGAAAAACACCTCTGGATCAACTCCCGGGAGACCTCCTCGGGGTTGTCTCATAATGAGGACTCTGTCGAGAGGACGACCTTGGAAATATGCGGATGCGACGTCCGCACTGTGCAATTGTGCACCCTGGATCGCCGCCCAACAGCAAAGAATGTTGTGAGCTTCCGTGTCTGCTGTGGGACTGTCTGATCTCAAACCTTCACTGACTTCGAAATTGCCGCATGACACCAACCGGCTTTTGAACTTTGGCACATATTCTTGGTCTGTTCTTCCCTTCATAAATTGGTTCTTATCAACATCAACCCACTTGCTAGGAATACATTGATGCCCTTCAGCAATCAATCTCTCAGCATCTTCTTTTGAAATTTCAACAACAGCAGCGAACTCAAGGAACTTGTTCCACTCCTTGGTTCTGGCATCCATGATGTTCTTCTGTACATCAGGTGGCGCTGATTCATAGTGGATTGATTTCAACACTTTCTTACCTAGCTCTTCGTTCTCAGGAACTCCAACTTCCTGGGACAAAAATGATGCAAACAATGCTCGTGCTTCTTGTTGCTCTTCAGGACTTCGTTCTGAGTCTCTCTCACGAGCTCTTTCAAGATGTGTTCGCAATTGATGTGGTAAGTCATTCAAAAGTTCCCTTCGCAATGGCCAAGATGACGCTGACGATGAAGCTAATGCACCTGAAACGGAACCACTAGGAGTAAGATCAGGCACAAATGAGTCTCTCCGAGATGGCACAAGTGATGAGCCTCTCTCCGACTCAGGTTGTAGCTGAGCCTCTACTCGAGGTCTCACATTGCGTTCCCGATCTCCATCTCCTGGGCGTGGTCTTTCAACTCTTCTCTCTGGAGTTCTACTTTGTGAAAAGATATCTTCTTCCATAGGACCAGTGTCTTCCTCCTCCTCATCTTCTTCAAAGAAACCAGGTCGTATGTCCCATTCATCTTCAGGTACTTCTGGTATAGGAGGAAGTGCTGAATCCACATTGTCCTCAGGGACAACTTCAACATCGTCTGCTTGTCCTGGACCTTCACGAACAACTTCAACCTCATCTGCTTGCCTTGCATCAAGAAACGCTTGTTGACCTGTATCATTGATGATCCTGTATGGAATCACAGGTTCACCATTCAACACTGATTGAGCAAGAGCTTCAGAAGGAGAAGCAATGCGTATGTTGTGAGAAGCCACAAGTACTGATGTTCTTCTGGTTCTCGTGTCCGATCACACGGCATGTTGGTGACCAGGACGTTCCTCCTCGCTGATTGTCTCGTCTGAAAGCGACGAGATCACCAATGTTGAACTCACGATCAAACACACTGGCGTTGCGTGTCAACGCTCTCTGAACTCTTCTTGAACAATCAAGGTGAACAAAAGCCTTTTGTGCCTCAATCCTGGCCAAGTGTTGTAATGCAAAAATTGATGAAGGATCATGTCGGGCCTGGATGGCTCCGAGCTGCGCATGGTCTTCCTCAGACATGAGTGAAGCTACACCACGGGGAGCTCGACCAAGCACCCACTGGGATGGAGAAAAACCTCCAACACGCGCAGAGTCGTTCTTCACACTGAGCACCTGCGTGATGCACGACTCAACCTGTTCTTTGGTACAAGCCCCAACTTCTGTACACACTCGTCTGAAAAGAGCTTTCAACAAACCACCATGCCTCTCTACTCGGCCCAATGATTCCGGGCTCTCAAGGGGCACATGGTGCACTTGAATGTTGTGTTCATCCATGTATTGTTGCAAGACACCACGATTGTGCAAACCACGATCACACATGATAGCAACAGGATGTCCTGCCCAACTGAACCAACGTTTGATGAGTGTGTCCAAACAGGATCGCGAAGAAGCTTGACCTGCTCCAACCTTCACGACCTCGGCCTGTTGAAAACAAGTACCAATGCAAACCATGTTGAGAACTTGATACTTCTGTCCAGTTACATCTGTCAACTCCAACACATCAATCCCGAAAGTATGGTTGAATGTATAATCACTTGGAAGCGTGACTTTGTGAGTGGGTTTCTTTGCTGATGTTTTCTCACATGTTTCACATCTATGCAACTTTAGTGCATCAACAAACTCCTTGCTCACCTTTGCAGCACGCACCAAATTCACCATCACCGACTTGGGGACATGTCCAAAAGCCCTGTGCAACCTACGCACAGCAATCCTGACACGCTGGGGAAGTTTACGCCAAGACCTACGTCTTTCTGATTCATCCTCTGGCAAACCAGGGATATCAACTTCATCCAAAAGAGTCTCTTCTTGTGCCAGGTCCTCAACTGGATCCTGCAATGCAACATCTTCTGGGCCATCGACGGCATCCCAGTTCCCACCATGTTCCTGAGCCTCTTCAATGATCTCTGCTGGGAAAGCAACGCTCATCTGATCCTCCAGTTCATGCTCAAGTGACCAATCACGAATCCATTGACAAAACTCCCAATTCAAAACGTCATCCAATTGTCGATACATAGACCAGTCTTGAAAACCTTGAATGAGTTCATCATCATTTGACACAAAAGCAAGACCAACTTCGTTGATATATGGAATCTGTGGTGTTTTGAATGATTCCCATCGTTCAGTGTGTGCGACATCAACAATGAGAAACCTACACCCTGTGGCATCACAATACTGTTCCAACTCAAATACAAGATCCCCATGACACAGTGGATAATGTTCTGACTTGTACTCTATTGCAACAATGATCAATGTGCAACCCCCGAACATGTCACTCCAACCACGTGGCTCAGCATCACCGTCCAAATACGCGGCATTCACGCCGACGTCATAGGTGTGCTCAAAAAGATCCTGGAAAAGGGTCGGGTGTGACGTGATGACTGCAACCCCTGAAGTCCCGTTGGAAACTTGAGGCTGCATCCCAAGACTGGATTGCATCACACGGTCATGGTTGTTGAGATTGTTGATACCTTCCAACACCATCTTTCTGTGTTTCTTGCTCATGGTCCTCCTCTCATCAGGATGGACTGTCAAATCAACGTTGGAATCAAAACGCACAGCCATGAAACCAGTGGGAGAATACTCATAGTCATATTCACAAGAATCGGAATCATCTTGTTCCAACTTGGGCGTCAAGACCTTTGGCTGGGGCTTCGACTTCACTGCATACATTCTTTTGGGTTCTGGGGATTTTATCTCAACTTTTGGATTCAAAGACTTTTCAAAATCATCCCTTATCCCGCAGTTTCTTGTTGGGGGTCAACTTGACACGA